GTCCTACCAACCTATCTCGCCTATTTTTTATTGACTTCCATAGAGTCCTCTGTTCTCCTATTCTTTCCAATACCTCTTCATTTCTAACCTTTTCTACCCACGATATCCTCATCATCCGCCTATAACACCACATTTCGAACGCTTCTAACCTTTTCTTTTCCGCCGCTCCCACTGTCCATGTTTCGCACCCGTACAACGCCGTGCTCCAAACATACACCTTTAACAACCTTTTTCGAATTTCTAAATTAACCGTTCGCGAGCATAGAAGTGACTTCTTTTTATTAAAGGCGACACGACCCTGCGCTATCCTCTGCTTTATATCCCTACTACTCCTTCCATCCTCACTTATCTGACTTCCTAGGTATCTAAAATCAGCCACTTCTTCTAATTTTTCGTCTCCTATCTTTATATTCGCTCTTTCCCTACTTTTTCTTCCCTTGCATATCAGTATTTTAGTTTTACTTTTATTTATTTTCATACAGTACTGATCTGTCAGTAACGCTTCCATTTTATTTAAAGCTATCTCTAGGTCCTCCTTGCTAGATGCTAATACTGCTATAAGATTATTTAATATTACATTAAAGCAATTATAGTTTTAAATAAATATGTACAATTTACTTCAACATTTCATAGTGGAGGCGCTGTTTCTAAATTATTGTAAGTACAGAAAGCGCTTCGTAATGACAACAGTAATTGAAATTTTCGAAATTTAAAAAGTACAAACAAAACAATCTCTTCTTTTCATAATTTCACCTTCAACATTGTACGTTTCCATCTAAAAAAATAATAGTTCCCTCTTCTTTGGTAAATCATTAAACATTCAGTAACAGGGTTTGCTACATAATTGAGGTAAAAATATATCCCCATAAGCATAAATTACTGCGTTTGGCATGTTTAATTTTCTAAGAGGCTTAACTACGTTTAATTTTATCCATGATGAAATTTTGATGTAAGCAGCCATGGCTCCTTTAATTCAATTACTTGAAAAAAAATGGCTATATTTGTTTTACTTTCTCAGAATAAGAAAGAAATCGTATTTTTTCTTCCACAGGGATCAGGCAACCTTGTTATGTATATAGCTGACGTGCATGTGACACTTTATTGATCCGACTGAGCAACAAGTTTTATTAGGGTTTTTGTTTCAGTAACTCTCAGAAATACACGCGCCTTACCCTACATGTCTCCTCAAGGAAGTTAGGGACCTACACTGTTAAAGAAATTACTGATGCACAAAAAATGGTGAATAACTAACTGTACAAACTATATCTACAATATTTGGTTTGGAGAAGTTTTTAAACATTTGTAATTGTTTGCTGTATTTTCTCAAAATGTTGATTTTAACGGAGCGAATGAAATTCTATGTAAAACACTAGATATAGGCTTAAAAATGAATATGGAGGCTATGAAATAACGAATTACAACTACAGGCACAACGAAGAAAATGTGAATTAAAAAAAAAAGTTAATAAGAAGATGGATAAAACGAAACTAACTCTAAATCAGGTGGCAAAATCAAAAACTGTTCTGGTACCACTAGAAATACCGTGTATGCAACAATAGAATATGGGCCAGAAGCCAATAAGGGGAAAAACCCAACAAGGTATGCCTCTGCCTCCAGCTATGAGATTCCTGTAACCCAAACAGTAACTTCGTAGGAGCTTCTAACCTGAGGTCAGCTTGGGTCACTCTATACCCTTCAATGAGTACCCATATTGCTTTCTCTTTTTCTTCTCCCTTCCACTCCCATATCAAGCCCCTCCACCCCGTAGACGAGCGAAGCCACTCTCGCAAAACTAAATACTACCTACGAAAATTTTCTAATGATCGTCCCGCAGCGATTAGGTTCGGCAATGGAAGAGGGGACTCACCTACGAAATGGAAGGAATAAGAAAAGGAAATAATCATTTCATCATCCTATTTGTAATTAAAGAAAAATAAAGAAGTTTCGGCATTTTTTGAAACCATCAAAAATCTCACATCCTTAAAATAGTGAAACATTTTCATGTTGAAATTTATTTTCTTTTTATCTAATGTATGTTTTGTTTCACCGCTAATTTCACTAAATAAAATTTTGCAGATGTGTGCGAAATTAGCTATTTCTGGTGTCAAAAAAAGTTAATTTTACATGAATATAGTAAATAACGAGACTACGTAATATCAACATAAAATAACTTTATAACATACTAATACTATTTGACTTATTTCTTAAAAATCACATTTTTATGTAACAATCAATAGTCTTATTGTAGTTTGTTTTTTGGCTATATTAAGACTAATTAACTTAGATAGTAACTGTGATTATTTATTAGTGACAGTCAGAAAATAAATAATCAAAGTTACCTTTAATAAAAAATAAGTAAAAGAAAACACTTAAAGATACAGTAGAATCCGCTTATGACAACATCGAAAGGAAGTGACAAACGCGTCATACTAAGCGGACGTCATACAAACCATAGTTTTAGAAAATAAACAACATGCTATTTTTGTTAGGTCATTAGTTCAATAAAAAGAAAAACTACAAAATGTGTGCACCTATTTAATAAAAAAAAATGAACATGAACTGATAATGAACAATGTGTAACTTTAAACTATCAACTCGAGACTGAGAATTAAAACAAAAACTAGTCGTACGTCACGACAACACTAAACGTCGCCCTAGGGAAAGGGTAGAAGAATGATGCTAGTCACTATAACCGAATTTAATTTCTTAATAATGGATCATAATAAGGAACGTGGACATAGGTACGAATGGATTTGTATCGGGTTTGTCACATACCAAAAATATTGTCGTCTTGAGCCGATTCTTATTTTAATGGTTATTTGAATTGTCCCTTTAATTACGTGTCTCCTTCATACCACTTTTTCCCTAATTATGCTCATGTTTGTAAAATTATTTATATGAAGCAATTTCCTGATGAAATACTTTGAATTAATTATTGAATTAACCTTATCCACCATAGATAGCCTCGAATTAATGAGGAAAATTGTTCTACATCCTCGCCAGGAATCGAATCCGGGCTCCTGGTTTTAAGCACCAGTAGGTACTCTATCACTAACTCAACGCACATGCCTTCAATATCAACCACTTCAACAAAAGTTGAAGTTCAAGTTATTTACAGGACATTCTTATATTTGCTACTGTTAATGCTTTCGAAACGTTTGTCCTAGCTAGTTCACCTTTCAACAACTACATGGTGTCTAATGTAATTCGAGAACAGCAATACGATGTATATTAAACAGATGAATTGACTTATTAACACATGACATATTGATGCATATTATACGAGCACTGCTGTTCGAACAATTACAACCCTCTTTCGAACGATCTAGGAGAAGCGGCTCCTTAACATTACAATGAAGACTGAGTACTCTGACACAGGTGATCAGGCACAGTATAACTGAGGACGCCAGGGGTTTGCTTTCGTATAATATGGATCAATTTTCCGTAAGGTAACTCAATTGATCTGTTTATTAATGATAAATAAATCGATAAAGGCTTTTGCGGTCAGTAGGCGAACTGATGCCGTTCTGATTCGAAGTCCGTTTCCAGCATGGAAGATGGAAAATCTTAAGAAGCTCGCCACTCATGTTATCGAAACGTTAGGAAGCAACTCCAACTTACGACAGCCTTTAGACCCAAATTAGAACAGCATTACTAATGATAAGGTATAAAAGCTTTAAATTTTTTTTTTGTTGAATGTTAATAAGTATATCTATTTGTTACTGTTATATGTAAATATTAGGAAGGGAGTCAGGCAGGGATGCACACTGTCACCGCTACTTGCAGATGATATAGCAGTATTAGCATCTAGCAAGGAGGACCTAGAGATAGCTTTAAATAAAATGGAAGCGTTACTGACAGATCAGTACTGTATGAAAATAAATAAAAGTAAAACTAAAATACTGATATGCAAGGGAAGAAAAAGTAGGGAAAGAGCGAATATAAAGATAGGAGATGAAAAATTAGAAGAAGTGGCTGATTTTAGATACCTAGCAAGTCAGATAAGTGAGGATGGAAGGAGTAGTAGGGATATAAAGCAGAGGATAGCGCAGGGTCGTGTCGCCTTTAATAAAAAGAAGTCACTTCTATGCTCGCGAACGGTTAATTTAGAAATTCGAAAAAGTTGTTAAAGGTGTATGTTTGGAGCACGGCGTTGTACGGGTGCGAAACATGGACAGTGGGGGCGGCGGAAAAGAAAAGGTTAGAAGCGTTCGAAATGTGGTGTTATAGGCGGATGATGAGGATATCGTGGGTAGAAAAGGTTAGAAATGAAGAGGTATTGGAAAGAATAGGAGAACAGAGGACTCTATGGAAGTCAATAAAAAATAGGCGAGATAGGTTGGTAGGACACCTTCTCAGGCATGAAGGTCTAGTCAGAGACATATTAGAGGCAGAAACAGGAGTTAGGAGGGGTAGAGGTAGACCTAGATTAGATTACTGTTCGTTAAGGATGTGGGTTGTTCTAGTTTTAGGGAAATGCGAAGTTTAGCTCAGGATAGGAATGAGTGGAGGTACGTGTCCAACCAGTCTTAGGACTGATGACCTTATGATGATGATATGTAACATTTACTCCAAAACACTACAAGTTAAGTCTGAAACTTCGGTGTTCAATGTTCTCATGGCATGTAAACAGAAAGTGAATAGGAAAACGACCTCTACGAAAATATAGCTCTCTTTAAAATAAAAAATTCGGATTTTTCACTCATACTCCACTTTAAAGTTATAGAACTCCAAAATTAAAAACTGAATATTTATTTGTTTATTGGCTAGAGTTTCATGGAATGGAAACTATTGGGTGATTTTTGTGAATATTTGTGATATCGGTGATTATTTAAAAATTATCTTCTAACAGTAGGTATTTAAAATTCTCTTCCAATGGTTGATATAATTCGTTGAAAAATTGAAGTTGTGTATATATTCACTGACTGTAGTAATTTACAGCAGGAACAAGACGTAACGTAATGATTTCCTTCGGAAATGAGCTTATCCTAATCACTTACCGGTGTCGTCACGAATACTAATTCGAGAGTTATTGGTAACGTTGAGTGGTATCATGTTCCGAAACCAGTTAATTTTAGGTGGCGGATTTCCTATTGCCCCACAAGTGAGAACGGCGGTATGTGTAATTTCAACCACTTTATTAGCTGCCGGAGGTTGTGTGATGTGTGGAAACCCTTCGGGTAGACTGTCAACTGCAACAATGAACACCGTAAGCAAAAGTGAAACTGCTTTTACCAAGAGAAACGTTAAAAATAACGCAGGAATACTAATTTTTAAATTAAAATTGTATATTTCACAGTGAACTTGAACCCAATACTTGTATTATTTAATTACAGGGATCGACAAAATGGTACACGTCTACAAGTCCAAAATGTATACGTATGTATGTACTAAAGTACTTTCAAAACTGTAATTACCTAATTTTAATTTAATAAGTTCAAATATAAGATTTTTGTGAGTGTCATACAGTTCAAATGTTGATACTTATACTTCAAACGAATACCTCAATGTGAAACATTGTAAACATTCAGTAAAAAATAGGAACAATTATCTCCGGAAAAGAAAGATAAAAACTTTCAACTTATTTTAGTGAAACTAATTACCTCTGTGTTTCCTTCCTTAATTTTTTTCAAAATTTTGAAACTAATAATTACATATAGGAGACCGGGAAAGGTTGACTAGTTTTTTACTAAATAGTTCATATTTTTTGTGTTTTAATGTATATAGACAAGAAAAGCATGTTAATAGTGATGATTTAATGCATTTTACAAAGTATTAAATCTTAGTCAATCTACCCCTGGCCCGGGGTAGGTAGACCATATGCCCGGGGTAAGTTGACTCATGTACCAGTACGAGTCAAATCATGAGAAGGAGCAAATAATTAAACATTTTTTTAATATAATTGAACCTTTTGTTAAAAAATAAACTGGCTAAAGTTTCCTTTTCTATATTAGTAAAAATTTGTCAATTTTTTATATATTCCACTGTGTCCAGGGTTAATTCTGCTCTCGTCAATTTCGGATTCTGTTCTAATTTTTCTTTTAATTTGGCCACGTAACGATTTAAATGTCCAATAAAAAGTTAATTTATGTGTTGTTTTCAACTACATATTTCATTGGGGTTGGTTGAATAATTATTCAACCAGCCCCGAAAAAAATTGGTCTACCAACCCCAGACGCCATTTTTAATTTTGATCGCATGGCTAGCCTAAACACTGCCGTTGACTTGAAAAATAAGATATGAAATATGATAAATGTGCCCTAATTAAACGCTAGGACTAATAGAAAAATGATTTACATAAAACGAGTAAGCATCAGATCTAAATACAATATATCAAAATATTACTTATGTAATTGAAATATGAAAAACATATCAGTGTTCGAAAACAACGCACGACCGCGATGTGACGCTTCAGACAACTGAGCGGGACGCGAAATGTAATGCTTCGTTATGATCAGATGACATAGTTGAAAGAGTCGAAGAGTTTTCGGTAGTTAGTCTACCTACCCCTATAGTCAACTATCCCCGGTCTCCCCTACGTACTCACTTAAACAGATGACACCATTAAAACCCCAATATTCGTTTTCTTAAATGACGTCATTCCTGTTTTCTTTTTTGACTAATTGATATCTACTCCACGATGGGAGTTTTGAGGAATTTACGTAAATTTAGGGAAATCGCGAAGGATTTTCTTCTAATAGGCATCAGGGAAAAAATACAGCCGTTTATAATTACTGCACAAGTTTCATTTCTCCGTGTCTCCAAAATAATTAATAATACTTAATGAGAGATAACATGACAGTGTAAAAGTATAACGGAAAAAGCTTATTCTTCATGATTTCCATTTTAAGGAAAACAATCTCCTCTTGAACCTAAAGTAGGTATAAACTATTCATTATAATCGTAATGTTTTACATATTAGACTGGCGTAGTCAAACAGGAAAGATGTCTTTGAAAAAATTACTTTTTGAGGTTTTTATAGAGTCATCTATTTAAAGTTTGGAATTTAGAAAACAATTTCCCACAGGTCACTAAAAAATTGAAAAGTGTAAGTATTCAGGTTCCCTTACGCTGATGCTTTCACTAAAGTTTTGAGCTTGGAATAATTATTACTAAAAATTATTTATCAGCATTATGAAGTGTTCCAATTATAAAATATTTCCATTAAATTAAATTATAGGTATTTATAAAAATGAAGAAAATTTAGAACAGTGCAGTACAGTAAAGTCCGAAATCCAACAGCTGCTCTATAAAATTATCCTTAAATTGTACAGTATATATACATTCGTCTTCTACAAGTTTTAAATAGATATTTTTGATAACACAATCAAATATAGAATTTTTGTATAGGGTGGCTGTTTTCTAACTAATAAAAGCACCATACAAAGAAAACAGCTGAAGAAAATAGCCAAAAGAGGCATTTAAAAATGGATCAACTTTTGCCTTAAAATACCTTGTTTATAATAATTGATGAACAGGTAAACGTGTTGGCTTTTTGATGAAACATTATTACTAAGAACAAAAGTGTTTTATTAAGTCAGATACCAAAATGTGTAGGATGTAGGTGAAAAAAATTTTTGGGCATATTCAGGTAATTAACCCCTTTAGTAGTCTTCCAAGGGAATTCAAAAGATACAAGCGTTTGAGATGTGATGTATTTGGAGTATTTATATTAGAAAGTTTACGGATAGAAAAACGTTAGAAATGAGAAGATATGAAAGGATATGAGAATAGGTGGCAATTTAAAAATAACAAGAAATAGGCGAGATAGGTTGGTAGACGCAACAGGAATTATGAGGGACAAAAGTAGATCTAAATTAGATTACTGTTTGTCAACAGTTAGAGACCTTAGTTGCTCTAGTTCTCGAGAAATGTGAAGATTACGTCAAGGTAATATAAAGTGGACGTGCGTATCCAAACAGTTATCACACTGAGTTCTTACGGTGACGGTATCTAAGTTATTACTATTAGGCTTTTTCAACACTAATATTCAGAGGTATTCTTATAGCTCCATAAGGTTTCCTAGTATTTTGTTGTATATGAAGGCAAGATAAAATTAATAAAATAAATAACAGTAAGTACCAATCTATGTTCATATCGATATAGTGTTATTCTCATTTTTGTTACTTCATCATCACCATAACGTCGTCAGTCCTAAGACTGATTGGACACGTACCTCCACTCTTTCCTATCCTGAGCTAATCTTCGCATTTCCCTAAAACTAGAACAACCCACATCCGTAACTATTTGCTAACAGTAATCTAACCTAGGTCTACCTCTACCCCTCCTAATTCCTGTGCTGTCGCCGTAGTTTGACGACTTTTATTTGTATTATTGTAGGGGCCAGTTTTAGGAATTACAAAAATGTAATTTGTTGATATAAACTTCACTTGGTTTTAACTATTTATTAACAACACTTAACTAAGGATTAACAACACTTTAACAAAAACAAATTGATAAGAAAACTTGTATGTAGAGAGTGGACTGTATAAAATTGGAATGAATGAAAATCTAACACGAACGAAAAGAGCGAATGATTGAATTGAAGGCCAAATTGCAACTGTCTGAATCAATGACTGAACTCCTGAAATTCGAAAAAATAGAAAAATGGAGGAAATAGTTTGGGGGTGGAATTAAATTCAAATTGGAAAAGGTTGATTGGTTAGAGAAAAAGTAGAAGATCGTGATTTGTTAGGAAATGAAGACAGAGATACAGAGGGGTAGAAAAATAGAGGGAGTACCAGAAGGGCATTAACCGGTACTTGGGGTACCGACACACGTGCAACGCATCTTNGGATGCGATGAATGACTAACGTACCTGCAAATACGGTAAATCAGATAACATTTAACAGGTGAAAAAATTATGACGATTTTCCTTGGAAATATGCATTCGCATGACCATCTTGACCTTAAAACGCAACCTACTTTTACACCTATACATTTACATTGTAAGTACGTAAATTCGTACGAATACACAGAAACAACCATACAATAATAATTGTATTTTAATGAAAGTTTAATTAACACTGGCAAAAATTTATCGGAGATTATTAACCATATTTTACGTAACCATAATGAAATATGACAATTTAATATAATGGAAAGTTATTAATAGAAGACGTTAGTAATTGGAACAATTGCTAAGATAAGTTGCAGTATGTCGACGGGTTACTCGTCCCTAAATATATAAAAAAACAGGATAATGTAGAATTAAGCCAAATAATAACCTACAATGCGTTTCCCTAAATCGTACCAATCAACTAGCCTTAAGAATAGTTTGAGTACTTTCTTTCCATTCATTGTCAATTTGAGAACATGGAATATACAACATCATTTTTTAATAGTAACTAATACTTACGCTCGGACAAGGATGCTCACTGTCACCGCTACTTTTTTGTCTAATACATCGAAAACGTGATCAACATCACTAAAGACAGTACGACTTTAGGGATAGATATAGAGGGGCAAAAGATTAGTATGCTTAGATTTGCAGATGACGTAGCAGCAGGGGTTGGAGATAACTTAAGACGGAGCTTCGAAGACGACAGCTCAAAACAACGGGACTAAAAAAAGGTTTGGTTGCTCGACTAAAAGCTGCGTTAATTATTGAACGCGATCGGGATGACTCAGAAGACGACGAAGAAGTCGAAGACGAAGACGATAATGAAAACGAAGACGATCAAGAAAACGAAGACAATGTAGACGATGAAGACGAAACCGTTCCAGCGTCCAGAGCACCAGCGATGAAAAGATTGAAACAAGTTTTAAACGTGGCCAGTCAGCACGGGTTAAACATTAACTGGGAAAAATGCCGATTTTTGCAGCGAGAAATAGAATATCTCGAATATATTGTTGCGCATGATGTTATACGACTGTCTGAACGAAAAACTTTGGCGGTAAGCAATTTCCCGCGTCCCACCAGCGTCAAGCATGTCCAGAGTTTTCTCGGGCTAACGGGATATTTCAGAAAATTCGTGAGAGGATATGCCTCAATAGTCAGGTCACTAACTGATTTATTGAAGAAGGACGCGAAATTTTACTTTGGAGCTCGCGAAGTCGAGGCTTTCGCATCACTTAAAACCGCACTAGTTAGTAAGCCTATATTGAAAATATATAGGGTAGGTGCAGAAACTGAGTTACATACCGATGCATCTCGGTATGGTTACGGAGCAATTCTAATGCAATTAGACGA